GCATTTAGCCCTATGTGACGTCTGTTTTTATATTGTTTATCAATAGTATACATTTTTATATTGTTTGGATTAACTAGCGGAGTAGACAGATATGAATGTTTATTCATCATAACCATACTGAAAATAAGTAAATATTGTTAGCTGATGCTACCTGTCTAGCTAACAAGCTTGCTGGTGCTAAATTGAGGTATTTAAAAAAATAAATAAAGTCCAAATATTTTTATTCAACCACCTAGATAGATTACATCTGAGGGAAAAAGAAAGGATGTGATGTTCAGAACATGGTAACTACAGTAATTATCAAAGTGGGAAGTGATGCCCTATGGGGGCCAGGGGTGTTTTTACACCACAGACAAGGTTTGAGAAGAAAAAAAAATCATTGTGAAAATATATTTTCCTTCAAATGTTCTTCCTAACTTCAGGCCTTATTCTCATGTCATATATAACTGTGATGTTCTGCAAAACAACAAGCTTTAAAACACTTTTTTCTTACTGGTGAAAATCAGATGGTCAAATCTGTTTTCTCTCAGGTACTTCACAGTGTAAGCTTCACAGTGAACATTACTACATCACTCTCATCAACGTAGTCCACATCAACAACAAAAATACATCTTGACTCCATATAGTGGTTATTTTGGAAAAATCCCAGGTATTTTGAGCAGTAGGATTATAAAAAATATGTGCTAATATAAAATTAAATTAAGTAGCCTATATAAAACTGCAAAATAAATCTATCTATCAGTACTTTTTTACTTAAGTACATAAAAAATCGAGTACTTTTGTACTTTCACTCGAGTAAAATTGAAAAAGGAGTACTTTTACTGGAGTAATATTATATTATACGTATCTGTACTTTTACTCAAGTACTTGATTTGTGTACTTCGTCCACCACTGCTAACATTCTTCAAAACATCTTCTTTTATGTTCAGCAGAGGAAAGAAACTCATACAGGTTTGGAACAACTTGAGGATGAGTACATTTTCAGAAAATTTTCTTTTTTGGGTGAACGATTCCTGTAAATTCCTCAAACACTCTCTCGCGCCTGCTCCAGAAGCTGCTACATTTATATTTGTTCCTCAGGTTTTTTTTTTGACTGACTTATGCTTGAAATCCTAGTGTCCCAATGTTGTACATGTAAAAATAATGAAACTTTTGAATACTTTTGAAATTAACCTCTTACTTTCCATTTACATTCTTTCAACTACTTCTAGGGTTTTAGATTCTGACAATTTAAAACCCAGTACAATATAACCAAATACCTAAATATACCCAAATATAAACCATATCCTTCTGTATTTTACCACAGTAATGTACGTTTCAAAAATGTGACTGATATCCAACAATACAATAATATAATAATATAATAATAATAATAATAATGGACTTAAGTCAAATTTATTTACATAAAAATACAGTTAAAATAGACAACAGGCAGGATCTTATATGAAGATCCATTGCATTATTAAAGCTTCATATTTAAAATCTCTGAAACATAAGTAATGTAACGTATTAAGTATGTTTGAAAAATGTTACCAAGTTCAGTTTAGTTTATGACCAGTTCTTCTAATTAAGCCTGGAATACACTTCATAACTGAACAGTTGACTTCAACTGAGCACTTATTTGTACAGATTTTAAAACCCCTAGGCATCATACTTGGCAACTTTGTAAATGGTTTAAGATGAAAAACTTGGCATCATACACTAATTGACTGAGGAACTTCAGACTTTCAAGTCTGAACATAAACTCACACAGAAACACGCAGAATCATGAAAACAAATGAAAATGAAAACAAAATGTGTTTAAAATCATCTAAAAATATCAATCATGTCGGTGCCCATCATACACTGTGATTTTCTGTGAAATCATTCATCTCAAATCTGTACAGTCAGTGGCTCTGACTTTCTTAACTATTGTCGACTTATCCAGACCGCAAATTGGAATTAAGCTAAAATCTGCAAAAGCTGCATATTCCAGCCGATTGTCAAAAGTAACGAAGAAGCTTGAAGTATGCTTCAATGTTGAACAGAAATGACAGTAAAATGACCCTGGCGTCTCTGAGACCACAAACAGAACCTCAGTCAGTATGAGGAATTAGATACAAAATAGAAACCAAATGAACTTCTGCTTTCGTATGGCTGACCTGGATATGACCTGAAATTTGAGCAGCGTCAAACTCAAAACATAAGGCTTATAAAGGTATCTACAGTTTGTCAGTCCTCACTGACCTTTCTGGGCTCCGCTGCCTCCTCCACAGGTTTGAATGTGTGTCCCTGATGTCTCTCACCGTCCCTACAGATCAGACACACCAGTTTCTGATCCGTCTCACAAAACAGCTTGAGTCTCTCCTGATGATCTGAACACACCAGCTTCTCTGGTTCCTCAAACACTCTCGCTCCTGCTCCACAAGCCGCTACATTCACGTCCCTGAGGGCCTGCTGCTCGCTCAAGTGTTCCCTCACGGCAGTCACCATATTCCGCAGCACTCGGTTGGACCGGAGGTCCCACATGGTATAGGGTCGCCTGCATTCTGGACACAGTTTCAGGTGGCAGCTTTGGGAATGATTGCTAATACACTGTCGGCAGAACGTGTGGTCACACAGCAGGCTCACTGGATCTGTGAAGTCCCCCACACACACCGAACACTGGATCTGTTTCGACAGCCGAGAAACCATCACAACTACTTGTTTGAAATACGTCGGCTGACAAAATGCTGCTTGTGTCTGCTTAATGTCCCAAATACTCACTGGCACGGGGGTTTAGATATGAGGTGTTGTCCCAGCAGCTGCAGAGACAAATGACAACACATGTCTACCACATGTGCAGGGGCAGGAGTGTGTTTGGGAGATCTTCCTCTGCCCTTACTTGACTAACACACGTTTGTCCTAGTGTGCTAAATAAAGAGAGCCATATGACTCCCTGCACAGATTAACTTCCCTCTATAAGTCATATCACTGCCCTCAAACACATTTAAATTACAGTCTGACTGATTTCTACCAACAGTACTTGTTCATTTAGAATAAAACAAATGGTAGATCATATTACCAAAGTCAGATCTGACCTTCTGTCTGATATGCAGGGAATCAACAGGTGGTTGGATGATCACATGTGCATATAATATAAGCAGGTGCAGCTCAGCCATACCGTTGTCCTCACTAAGTTACTGTGTCTTAGTTACTGTAATGGTCAACACAGTAAACTCCCTATATATTATTTTTATTCATTTACTGAAATAGTTCTTGTGGCTTTTATATTTTGGTATAATTAGGCCAAATTTATTTGATCAAAAATACAGTAAAAACACAGTAATACTGTGAAAATATTATTACAATTTCAAATAACACTTTTCTATTGTAATGTATTTTAAAATAAACTTATTATCATCAGCCATTACTCCAGTCTTCAGTCTCACAAGATCCTTCAGAAATCATTCTAATTTACTGATTTGCTGCTCAAGAAACATTTATTACTGTTATCAATGTTGAAAACAGTTTTTTTTCAGGATTCTTTGATGATTACGGTTACAGATACCAAATGTTTGAACAGTAGTGGATATTGGGATTAATATTCCTGTGATTTGTTTGCTCAATGGAAACGGAGTCTATATTATCCATCTATTTTGTAATTGTGTCTACACAAGTTTTTTTTTTTTTTGGGTGGATATGGAAAATGTAATTAGAAAGAAAACAAATATTACATTCAAGTTAAATAATTTTGATATGTATGTATAATTCCAATGAAAGTAATAATAATAACTTTAATTTTCTTGTACATTTTCATTATTTTGGGAAAATTTCACATACATTAGAAGAAAGTCAGGGTCCAAGCCAAATTTCATCCATTTTCTTCAGGAGACTTAAAGACTCCTGCACCAGTTTGGAGAACATTGTTAATAAAAAGCAAACAATACTTGCAATATTTTCCAAGAATATACAGTCGTTGATTACTGAATTAGGCTACTGTTGTATATTTTGTTCTGGTTAATTGAAAAAAAAGAAGAAGAAGAAGAAGGGTCAAAAAAAAAAAACCGCGCACACACACGAGTAACGCATTGAATTCAATGCAAGTTTTAAGCAGAGACTTTGCCTTTTGTTGTTCTCGTCTAAAGTAGGTTTGAATTCATCCCTTTGGATAGTTTTAAGCATAGGATGGCTTTACAAAATAAAGAGGAATAATACTTATAATATAATTCACTCTGTAGGTAAAACTTGCTATTCATGCTTTGAGTGTTTCGTGCTGTATATTGAAGTGGCATACTGTCTATATGCACAAACTAAAGCTGACTATGTGTCCACGCAGTGAAGCCGGGTCAATGTCCCATACCGGAGATGATTCCACTATGTGCTGAAAGCTGTTTCCATGATGGCCAGTGTCCTGCCACACAGAAGTGTTGCCCAACCACCGGTGACTTTGCATGCAGTGAACCACGTGGTCAGGGAAGAGGTCGGGCAAGTTGCCGGGGAAGCGGCCAGGGTCAGGGAAGCGGCCATGGTCAGGGAAGCGGTTATGGTTAGGGAAGTGGTCAGGGAAGAGGCCATGGTCAGGGAAGCGGTTATGGTCAGGGAAGCGACCAGGGAAGTGGTCATGGTCAGGGAAGCGGTTATGGTCAGGGAAGCGACCAGGAAAGTGGTCATTGTCAGGGAAGCGGCCATGGTCAGGGAAGTGGTTATGGCCAGGGAAGTGGTCATGGTCAGGGAAGCGGTCGGGGAAGCGGCCATGGTCAGGGAAGCGGTTATGGCCAGGGAAGTGGTCATGGTCAGGGAAGCGGTCGGGGAAGCGGCCATGGTCAGGGAAGCGGTTATGGCCAGGGAAGTGGTCATGGTCAGGGAAGCGGTCAGGGAAGCGGTTATGGCCAGGGAAGCGGCCATGGTTAGGGGAGCGGTCAGGGAAGCGGTTATGGGTCAGGGAAGCAGTCAGGGAAGGGGCCATGGTCAGTGGTTATGGCCAGGGAAGTGGTCAGGGAAGCGGCCATGGTCAGGGAAGTGGTTATGGCCAGGGAAGCGGCCAGTGCCAGGCAAGCGGTCAGGCAAGCGGCCAGGGTCAGGGAAGCAGCCATAGTCAGGGAAGCGGTTATGGTCAGGGAAGAGGCCATGGTCAGGGAAGTGGTTATGGCCAGGGAAACGGTCAGGGAAGCGGCCATGGTTAGGGAAGCGGTTATGGTCAGGGAAGCAGCCATGGTCAGGGAAGCGGTTATGGTCAGGGAAGAGGCCATGGTCAGGGAAGCGGTTATGGCCAGGGAAACGGTCAGGGAAGCGGCCATGGTTAGGGAAGCGGTTATGGTCAGGGAAGCAGTTATGGCCAGGGAAGCGGTTATGGTCAGGGAAGCAGCCATGGTCAGGGAAGAGGCCATGGTCAGGGAAGCGGTTATGGCCAGGGAAGTGGTTATGGCCAGGGAAATGGTCAGGGAAGCGGTTATGGCCAGGGAAGCGGTTATGGTCAGGGAAGCAGCCATGGTCAGGGAAGAGGCCATGGTCAGGGAAGCGGTTATGGCCAGGGAAGTGGTTATGGCCAGGGAAGCGGCCAGGGAAATGGTCATGGTCAGGAAAGCGGTTATGGCCAGGGAAGCGGCCAGGGAAATGGTCATGGTCAGGGAAGCGGCCAGGGAAGTGGTCATGGTCAGGGAAGTGGTCAAGGGAATGGTCAGGGATGTGGTCATTGAAATGGTCATGGGAATTTTGCATACCACTTACTGGAGATCTTTTCAATTCAGTACTTTATTCATATGGCATGTTTTCCCTGTTTGCTCAAACAGTTTAGAAAGATTTTGTCCCTCTCCCACCCCCACCTCCTCAAATAAAAAGAATTGCTTGATGGA